GCAGTTATTATTTTTTTAATGTACTACTTAGCTTTAATTTGAGTGTGTTTTTCGTGTTGGAACGAATTATTTGGTTTTACATGTAATCGTATGGGAAAAAATGATTCACCTTACGACATTTTCATGATACGACCTCAGTTTCGGAACGGATTAATTTCGTATCCTGAGGTACCACTGTATTCTCTTCACGCCAGGAATTATATATGGGAGAGAATCCTTCCTCATCAGGCAAAGATTTTTGCCAAATGAAGAAGGCTGTATGTTTTTGAAAGTACTTGCAATTTTTAATAAATACATGTTATTAACATCGGTTAAGTGTGATTTCTCTTCCATATATCATCTCTCTTATCAATCGTCTCTTGAATTTGAAAGATGATAATTTCATAAATAAGTTTTTTAATAAATTTTTAATTGAAATATATTTGTTACTGTTGACTGAAAAGTTTTTCACTTTACAATATAAATATCTCTAAGCATTTACATTTTCACTTTTTCCTTTCTTTGCTTATTTCAGCAGTTTCATTCCTTTTTATTTCATTTTAACATAAAATTGTTAACATCAATAATTTTAAAAGACTACCATGTTAACAAATCAAAATAAAAAATCATATTAGCCTGATGAACTAATTAATTGTGTTGTAACTTTTAGAAGAAATGTCTTCCAACAATGATCTGATTAATCCTAGTTATACAATGGTTCCCAAACTAGAGTTATGCAGATCTCCCTTTGAAAATCAAAAAATTCTTGCATCCCCTATATACATGTATACATGTATATATTTGTGTATTAAATGTGCTCTGTGAAAAAAGTGATTTGTATACATAATAATCATGTGAAAACATAGAATTCTATAAGAAAACTCATTGTGATTCTATCAATGCTATATATTTTTGGAATGTAAAAGCAAATTACAAGTAGATATCTTCCTAATGTTTCTTGAAACTGGTGTATGAAGCCCAGTTTTGGTAAATTCAAATTCTGTTTTAAAAAATGAGATTTATGACCATGTCTTTCTATACTAATTGTCAAATAATTTCATAAATATTTGTCTAGAGAATTTAAATCTGTACAATTGCTGTCTTCACTGCTGTGATAATTTTGCTCTTTTAATTTATAGTAAAATTGACAATTTTTATCTCATCAAAGTAGATAACATTTTGTATAATATCAAAGTAGATAACATTTTGTATAATATTTATATTATTATAAAATTTTGGAATAATTCTGCATAAACAAAATCTACAGTTCTGTAGGAAGGTGAATTGAGTTAATGAAAATTATCTTTATTTTTTTTAATAAGTTTGGATTTCATACTGTTGAAGGCTTTACTGACTGAACTGTAAATAGCTAGATATTATGACACTGAGGTACCACAAATATATTTTTGTCTTGCTAGTTTTAGAAGCGGTAATGTGCCAAGTCTATTGACAATAATTCTATAATCATTATCCTCTGTATAATTTAAACTGTAGCTAAAAAAAATTAATGATTTTAATTTTAGGAATAAAAAGTTGCTTTAATTAGTTAAAACTATTAATTTCATAATGAAAAATTTGAATTTGACAGATCTAAATGACAAAAATAAAATTCTGCAGTAGAGATTAAATAATATTCTAAAATGAATATAGTAAAAAGTAAGTTTATAATTGAAAAAACTAATAGATTTTTTACAATAATACTCTTACAAGATTAAATGTGTTAGACTAATTTGTTTTTATTTTTTTGTGTTATCCATTATTCATTATGATTAATCTAATTGAATACTTTCTAAACTGGAAAAGCATTTTCCACTTCAGGAATACTGCCTCAACAATACAATGCTTAAGATCTTCACTACCTTTTGATATAATCATATAGACGTACTGTACATAAAAATGTAATGCTTAGATGTTTGTCAAAATCTCTTCATTATTTCATTTATGATAAAGTTATTTGCAGTGATTATTTTTGGATATTTAAGACACTTTATAGTAAAATTGCTTATTGTTTCACTTTTCATTTTCTTGTTTTTCTTATTTTTTAATTATAAATCAATTGATTTTTAAAATTTAATTGTTTTTTTCTTTAATATTAATATTCATTACATGTTATTTGATCACACAAAAAATTGAGTTGGTAATGCCGATACTTTCCATCAAATAAAAATTGTTTTATTTTCCTAGAAATTCAATTCTCGCCCTTCTGATTTAATGATTTCTGAATATTATCACTCTTTTATTTTTATTTCTCTTATTTAATTTTACTGGAATAATTCAGAATTATTAAATGCCAAACTATAGTTATTCAAATAAATATCTTTAAAATCTTTTTATCTTTACAAGTGTATATAATAGATTTGTTAAAATATATCTTGGATAATTATTTATGTATTTACAACTTTTGATAAATTCTGCGACACGTTGACATACATTAAATTAAGCATAACATTTTTCAGAATATTAACAATGATGCATAGAATTGAAATATGAATAATGTATAAAAATAGAATTTTTGGCACTTGAATCTTTTGGCATTTACACTTTCAAATGAAATAATCCATAAATGAACAATGAAGAAATTAATAAAAATAGAATCATCAAATAATCAATAGTGTATCTGATAATGTGGATCTTTTCTTATGTTGTTATAAATCACAATTTTAATGATAATTTTAGTATATTTATTATGATATGACAGTTAAAAACATCTTAGTTCAAAAGCAAAAACAAAAACTGTAACTTTTTTAAAGCAGAAATCTTGTTTGATTTGTTTTTCTCCACATTCCTCCAAGAAGATTTCCAAAAACGTTTATAAAGTGATAAGTAAGACTTCTACGAAAAAGAAGAGCACGGTATTTGTTTTTTTGCATTCAACTTATATCTAAAAAACATCTAAAAAGATATCTGATTCTATTAATGTTATATCAATAAATCAGATTCCTTGTCCATTCAGTTTTCTGTTTGCCAATTAAGTTAAGTTTGATAGTTTTAAACGATTAAAATAATGAAATGATCTCTCAAATTAAATTGCAGTAAAGAAAAAATAATAATAAATTATTTGGATATTGTTCATAATTAGAATTTTTCCCCATTAAAAATGGAATCGGTATATTTATAATTAAAACAAAAGTAATTATATTAAAAAAATATCAAACACAGAAATAGTAGTCTCTAAGACCTAGTGACAGAATATTATGTAAGGAAGATTTAGGGCTTTTGTTGATGGCAAAATGCCAATTAGTTTTTTTATTACTTTATTTTTATCTCTCATTTTTTTAAATTTTAATTTTTTTTTGTCACTCCTAAGTTACCTATTTAACAGTAGGATTGATTAACCTGGAGCAGCATTGGAAAGGTTAAGAAGTTTTCTATCATTTAATCCAGTCCAAGGCCAACATCATACCAATTATGTCATTACACTCATACTCTAATAAAATTATTTGGTTTTCTGCATAATTTAGATGCAAATTCTGTTTTAAATATAGAACGTTTGTTCATCATCATCTATTGATTTTAATGTTGTCATCTTTTTATGACATGTTTTCACAAAAGAAAATTACTTTATAGTTTACATGTACTTCCATGTACTGTACAGTATATATTTGCTAGCTTGCTTTCTAATTGATTATTTCATTAAATATTTAATATTATATGACTTTTTGTAAAACTTGTTAATGAAAGTATTTGACACTTTTTTAAGAATTTATATTTGCACAGTAGTTCCTGTTTGACTGCTTCTTACTGGTCCGATGAGTTAATAACTATATCCAAATTAAAAACCACTCAATTATAACTATTATGTTGTGTGTTGAAGAATCTATCAATACAGCAAACAGTGGATTTTGAACATAAAAAAATAGCTTGTTTTCATATTTCTATAAGTATTTATTGGTTTTTAATAATAATGTATTTGTTTATAAATAATAATAAAAATCTGACATCTTCCAAGTATCTTTAAATATACAGTGATGTAATATTTCAGCTAAAATTCACTAGAATTCTATGTAATTTTAATTTAATAATATTTTTACATTCCATTTTCATTTTTTTTGTTTTAAACTTTAAAAGTAGAATGTAAGAGATTCTGAAGCAAATTAAATAATAAAAACTAAACTTAGAAATTAAGTTGAATTAATATCTGTTGGGCTTTATTTGATGATAATATAAATTTTATAAATATTCAAGTAATGTGGGATCCCTAGATCTTTGGAGATCTAGGGATCTCCAAAGATCTAGGGATCAAAAGTCCTCTGCACTGGTTTCTTTGGAGCATAGTTATGCCACTGGAGATGACACCCCGAATTCTATTATGACTAGATTCTATTTATATATTATTAGTGAGAAAGCAAAAGTTAGATAGATTTCTTCTGTATAATATTTTATGAGAAATTTTGGATAATTAGTTTGGATAAATAGTTAAAATTTNTTGACTTTTTGAGAATTTATATTCTTCCAAGTGTTAGAATTAAAAAAAACAAAACCAATGAAAATAAGAGAAAAACTCATTCATCTAATATGTCAAATATTCCTAATCCGAAGTACCCAAATATAGAAATTTATGAATATTTATTATATTGGCTGGTTTGGAGGAATGTTGGACATTAAATTAATGTGTGTTTCTCTTAGACTTTAAATTCTAGCTCTTAGAAGAATATAAATTTGTATTTGTGTTTGTTTCTGGCATAATTATTTGATATCATTTAATAGAGTCCATAGCCAGTGGCAAAGGGGGACAGGAACATATCAAGGACCCACTCCTCCCGGAGTAAAGAAGAGATAGGTTCACCATCATCAAAATTTGCCAGGAGAGGCATAATTGCTACCCGCAACCCCGCTAGTATCAGTTTCTAGGAGGGGGAAAACTCCGATGCATTCAATTTAAGAACTTAAACCACGATTTTAACTAATAAAACGAAAGAAATTCTTGTAATATACAAGAATATTATTTATTCTAGCGGGAAGAAATTACAGAATATTTATTTTGTTTGCGTTATTTTAATAAAGTGTCCGTTTTTTTCCAGGATTTACTGAAAAATCCTAGAAATCATTCCAGACTGGAAACATTCCGTGATAATCTCCGCCGGAGGGACCAGAGATGGGAAAGTTGCTGGAACACGACCGCCTTAAAATTTTTCCAATAGGAGAAAATGCAATAACGAAAGGATAATAAAAAGTATTGATATTAACTGTCAATTAATGTGTTAACTAGTTTTATTCGCACCGCTCCTCCAGTATTTAAAAGTTAGGCGAATTTTGTTTTTATACCGTCAGATGGCACTAGTCTGACAAACGGAAGGAGCAAGGAAAATAATTAAGTCACCGGCTACGAGCATCTCTACGAAATATGCTAATTAGATAAAGCGGGGCTATTGCTACCGGTTCGCGGAAAGGTTACGAAAGTGACGATTTACATTTCATATAGAAACGGTACTTACTATTATTTAATAATTATAATTTTGGCAGCACACAGAAGTGGAAATTCCCCGGGGACAGGCACGTAAGGATGCACGTGTGTGGTGTGACTGGATGGAGACACTGGTTTCACTGGGATGCCGCTACGGCGACGAAGGCAGACCCCGCCCAGTTTCGTCGGCGGACGGGAAGCAGTTGGGAGTTAAAAGTGTTCTGCCATGTGTTACGGCCCGGATGTTTATCCGCCTCTCCGGATCGGTACGTAAATAAACGGAGTGGAGAGCGTTTTTTGCCCAGGCCAGTGCGCTCTTAATTAAAGGTAATTACGGAATAGGACTGCACCCGTTGGCGACCAGCATCCCATCTTCCGAGAACCCCATCCTGCTCGGCGCCACGTTGAAGGAACGCGTGGCCGCGGGCGTCGATAGACATAATTAATCGCAGCGTCTGCATTAAACGAGTCTCGTACACCTCGCCGGGCCACACCTGGTCCCGCCATAGGTGAAGACGGTTGGTCCGAGGGGGAAGTGGTGCCGCGCAACCGCCTTGGCGGCCACTTTGTGCATACCAATCGGCGCTGTTGATAAAGAAGGAGAGAGACGGGTCGAGGTCAATCTTTGTACAAATTGCCAACAGACGAGTTGTCAGCGGCGTCGCAGGCAGACGAGGTTGTATCGCCGCCCAGACAGCGCTCGACTGACGTTCTGGGTGCAGAACACGTGCGGCTGTTCCTGTGCGAGGAAGCATCGATCGGGCCAGTGCAGCATGGAGTAACGGCCAGACATGTCCTGGCTGCGTGTCTGTCTGTTGGTAGTGACGGTGGTTCGGTGCCGGGCGGGCTATCTCGGCATTTTCAGGGGTCAGTTGGTCACACCCGATTCTTGCTATACGCAACTGGGCCAACCGCAACCTTGCATACCGGATTTTGTCAATGCAGCCTTCGGTCGACGCGTGCAGTCCACTAGCCAATGCGGCAGCCCTCCCGCTCGCTATTGCCATTCCGAAGGAGAGTGTTCCGTCTGCGACTCGACCTCCGGCCAGCAGAAATATCCCGCGTCCTTCTTGACGGATCTCAACAATCCCAACAACGTCACCTGCTGGATGTCCGAACTGGGCGCGCACAACGTCACTCTCACCCTGAGTTTGGGCAAGAAGTACGAGGTCACCTACATCAGTCTACAGTTCTGTCATCGAACTCCGGAGTCTTTAGCCATATACAAAAGCATGGATTACGGCAGGACTTGGCATCCTTTTCAGTTTTACTCCAGTCGATGCCGCCAGGTGTTTAGGAAGCAGCCCAGGGTGCCCATTACCAAAGCCAACGAACAAGAAGTATTATGTTCCGACTGGCCCTCGGCCCGTCGTCTCAGAGGCGAAAGGTTGGCTTTCAGCACCTTGGAAGGTAGACCGTCGGCCTACGATTTCGACAACAGCCCGGTTCTTCAGGACTGGGTGACGGTGACCGACGTCAAAATCGTCTTGCAAGGCTCCAAGACGGACAACGCTTCTCTGCAAGATGCTAATTTCTATAGTGCCTCGGATCTGGCCATCGGGGGAAGGTGCAAATGCAACGGGCACGCTTCCAGATGCGTGGCCGACGGGGACGGAACCTTGGCCTGCGAATGCAGACACAACACCGCCGGACGGGACTGTGAAAAGTGCAAGCAGTTCCACTTCGACCGTCCTTGGGCCAGAGCTACCTCTCATCAGGCTCACGAATGTGTAGGTAAGAACGTTTCTCTTAAAATTACCTTCCAATACTTTAAGTCTCCTCTTAAAACTTCTTCTATGCAATATTTTAACATTATATGACGAACGTATTCTCTTGTTTTCCACCTGTGCGAAAGATCATTAATTAAATCGAAAGACGTTTCTTCTAGTGTCTTCTCTGACCTGGACTTAGTATGCCATTCGAATACCGCGATTAAACTGATCCTTCGTGCATAAGCCGATCCCGGAGGTAATAAAGATGCCCGAATCGCATGCTTGACATAATTAGACGGGGCTCCTTTCGTGTGAATAAATTTGTTAAGAAGGTGATTGCCGACATTTAAAAGAGTAATCCGACAGCGGGAGAGATTTATCTACTGACGTTTCTTTCAAAGATTAAACTGCTGTAACACAAACCAACAGCTGCGTTGAAAATTTTTTCCACTGTCAATATAATGTCAAAATTTTGTATACCCGGAAAATAGACTTATTTCTTTTAAACAAAATGGTGTTTTCTTCTTCATACTTTAGAGATTTTTAGGTTTTTACAAAGATTCGAAGGTCTTCATGTCTTAAACACGAGCGATGAGAAACTTAAGAACTAATCGGAGGATTCGTCTTACGAATATCGAAGAATCTTATTAGTGTAAATTCGGGTTATTGAGTAGATCTTGTAATCTGCCGATCGATTTAAATAACTGATTAGTTTGGTAGAGAAAAGACGGGAATGCCAAGTAAAAAACACTCGGTTTGTGAATCCGTTTTCGGCTCCATTACTCGGTCAGTTTTTATTAGAGGGGGGCGTTCCTACACGTCGAATGTGTAATTATCCCCTTTATTACGACTCTCTGCCGCTTACAAGCTTCTAATCGATCATTAGGCCACTTCTCCCCACACAATCGTCCTCTATTTGCCGCGGACCACCTGCCACGCGCATCTAACAAACGGGTTGGCTCCCCGTCACCCCGGGCCCCACCGTCAAAAGCGAAGGAGGCAGATGGCGCTCCGGTAATTAATCCGGTCCCTTTCTGGCAGAACAGTGCACGACCTTTTCTGACAGAACTATGGAAGCGGGTAATGGAGGGGAGGTCTCGTGGCACCTTCATTCCGATTGAGAGGTCCCGAGATAATGACGGGCTGTAGAACGGCAATTTGCCAGTCGAGAAGCGCTTAAAGATACCAGTAATTTTCTAATAATTCAACTTTTGCAGATTTCAACCGGATTCTAATTGCAGAAAGCTTTTTCCGACACGAGTCCCTCGGACTCCTATTTTCCAAGGTAGTCCACGCGGTTTGTATTCAAATTCGGGCAGAAAACCACCGGTAAGATGGCCAGTACGGTTTAAAATTCGATAAAGAGAGCTCCGCCCTTACTGTAGGATGCCGTGTCAATGGACTCTACTGGGTGAGAGAGTAATAATCCCGAAGAGAATCTTGATGGCCAGCCGGATCTGCGATCTACTCTGGGAGTAATTTAAGAGAAGCTGCGCGTAGTACCACGTCCATTCCATTCTAATTCGTTTCCGTCGAAAGAATATCGAATGACGTAGGTACTTGACATCTTTACTAAAGAGGCGCGTTAGGCCGCACAGAATTTATTATAAATCATACGCCTGGACGAGGCGGTCCCGTCAGGCGCCAAATTTCTCGGTTAAGTTCCTTGTCGGGACGGGTCGACTAACCTCCAGCGTCACGACGCCCGAGGGAGACGGCGAGCTGCGCCATTAGTTATGCCGAATTCGGCAGGCGTTGCCGTCACGCGGGGTGGCCAAAATGTCAGACGTCTTACGGAAAGGTCGAAGTTAATATAGAACGGAATCTTATCAATTTTAAGCGTATATATAGAGAGAGCGAATGCATCCATCCAGACATTTTGATCTATGGCACTTTGGTCCTCCGATCTAATCGATTCGACGGATCCAACGCATGGCTAAATATCTCTACAAGTATTTTATTTTGGGCCGTATTTTATATTCTAATCCAAGGCAACGAGCACGAAGGTGCAAAGAAGTATCCCGAATTTTTTTCGCCGGTGAATTTGGGCCAACGCTAAAACATTACGGTCTCACGAATATACAATTTTGTAAAAGAGTTTTCTATTGGCCTTTCTTCTTGAGATTTTTACAGCAGAGCCGAGTAAAAATCTTTCTAGTAACTTAATTATTGGGCACGTCGCCCCGATGCACGTTTCTCCCGGATTTGCCATATAGGATTACCGGGACGGGCAATTCGACGGGATCTCTTGTAAGGAACTATTAATTTCGTCGTCCGCCGTGGGATAAGTAATTTAAAATCGCCGTTAAGGCAAACGATAGCCCGACCCGGAGACGGCGGGTTTACGGTTTGTCATCCCTCATTAAATCGGTCGGAGTCTTTACCGACGCGTTAACAACCTGACCGGGCGCGGAGCCAAAAGATTGGGCAGATAGATTTCGATAAGAAGCACTTAACCCGCTATTTATCCGAGCCAGCGGCTAACATGCCTCGGGAATGTTGTTGTCGTTATGACATTTCTATTCTTGGAGGAGGGAAACTCGAGCGCCGGGAATACCGCGATGGCACACGGAATAGCGGGAAAAAAAATGATTATATTCTCCCGGCATTTTCGAAATCTATAAGGAACGGGGACGACTCAGCTGATCGGTCGATCATCGGACAGAAAATCGGTTATCACCCGACCAGTCGGAAGAATCGGGATGGTCGGAGAAATTTCGAAAATTTATTCCCCTCGTTAAACGGATGGAAGGTGGACACACCTGCGCAACTAGAATATTCGTGCCATAAAACGTGGCCGTGCTCCTATTCTGGGCCGTTTTATGAGCGCACTAATCTGTTAGGATATACGACTGCGTCCCTGCGGGGATCGACACTTCTGGCAGCTATTTTTCGACGTCCCCCTCCTATATTAAAGACCGCGCTAGTCCAATCCCACGTCTTACGATGTTGCGAGGAACCCCCGAAATCGATCCGATCGAACCCAATCGAATTGCCATCCCCACCTCCCGGTCCTCCGGATATATTATCAAACCACTTGCCTCCTCTTATCGATTTACGTGACAAATGCGACTTATGATACGGCAGGTGTGGCATCTCTTCTGTTCTTATCGGCCTCGTAAATTTTCTTTCCACCCATTTTCACTGTTTAGTCTAGTGCAACGGTTCTCAAACTAGAACGTGGGAGATAGTTTCGTATAATAGCAAATATATTAATAATGTATACGGCCTTTTAAACTCTGCTCGATCCGGAACGGACATTTTTAATACAAGGTTGCTAAGTGTAGGTTATCCGGAATGGAAATGCCAAACACGAAGGACCAATTATCCTCTCCATACTTTAAGCCCGTTCTGTAAGATTAACATAAATTAAATGCGCGATAACAAACTTTTATTCAATTATTAATCGTAATTAGATGCGAGTTTTTATTTATAGAGTGTAATTAAATTAATATTCTTTTTTTCTGTTTAAAAAAGAAGGATGCGAGTTGCTCCGGAAAAACCAAGAAGAATTAAAGTATTTAATTTACATTGCTTAATTCTGTATTACATCCGATAACAAGTAGATTGCATTCCGATGAGAAAATTTATTTATTGCTCATGTTAATTATGGCCTGGAGTCATCTCCAAGTACTGTATATATTCACGTAAAATAACGTAAGATTAATACGATTTTGTATACAGAGAAGAGATTCTTTTCTGTCTAAAAAAGAACGAAGAAACTCGTTAATCAGTGTCGCTTCGTACGTAGTCAAATTCTCATTTTGTCTTTATCTCTGGGTTTTAAACACGGTGAAGTGGAATTTACTTTCCATTAATGGGTTTCTCATTAGTGCAACGGACGGATGTCGAGTGGTTCCGATAACCATTGGAGTGCTCGATACGCACGGGTCGAGTGCGTCGGGTACGTCGTGTGAAAAGTCTAATTGGATAGAAGAAAGGGGAGGCCAGAGACCTTTGACGACGGAGGTCGTCGTCGACCAGTATGTAATTCTTATCAGATGTCGAAGACATCAGATTAGTGATAAAAGCCGGACGCGTTTTTAAAACGGACGACAGACAATAGACATCGATCCCCTATCGCTTCCACATCTATTTCCCTTCGGCTATGACATAGACACCAGCTTCTTTTTATATACGGCTTGGGTTTCCCCCCGGTGAACACCCATTCTAACCCGAGAACGGACGTCGTGAGAATTTTCTTTCCAGAAAGAAACGTGACAAATCGGATCCGAGAACCGTTTGACGAAATCGGATTTTGTGGACGTCACAAAGGACAGTTTGTCAATCGATTTACGGTTTAATAATACGGTCCCCCCTTATTATTATTATTTGTCCTTCCGTTTGTGGAATTCTAATTCGGTCGGTCTGTGCTCGTTAATCAATGGACGGGGATCCGTTCGACGACGAGCAAACATGTCAGGCAAAAGACGAAAGCCGAGAGCATCTGCTGCCCTCGTCTGCTTGCCAACATCTATAAACGGCGGCATTTCTTGGCAGCGCACCACCGACGGGCGCGAGAGGAGCGGGACCCGTCGGGCCGGATCCTACTGATAATCCTAATGAGCTCCCCGTCACGTGATCGACGATAGACGAACTTTTTTTGCGTCTGAGGGAGATGGCAGACGGCCTGGCTCCCTTTTTCCAGACACAATCGACTCCTCTGCGGTGATAAATAGCATTTTTGATGACCCGTCTAAATTTAATGTCGAACAAAGGATCGGAGAGATAACCGGTTTTTTTCTTTTCTTTAAATGTGTGGTATCGATTCCGTGTTTGCTCCGGAAGATGTCCAACTGCGAAAAGTAGAGTACCCTCTTCTTTTATCCGAGCCAATGATGATAGTGGGCTCGTATTCGATGCTTGGCTCCTCCTCTTGGCCCGCCTCGGGCGGGGTACCGATCGATGCATTTGTCATGGCAGACGCAGTCGACGATTGAGTGTCGTCGTGTCTCGGCCCCTCGTTACACGGGGACAGATTTGTGCACGTGTTGGCGACACATGTATATACTATTTATAGTCGCCCGAACTTCTGCCAACCTCCACCGGTTTCGCTTGAATTACAATCGCTTTTGCCATTTCCTCGCGTGTCTCTCGGAAACCAAATTTGGTTTCACCACCTGCCACCCCTTCCCCCTCGCTTTACCACCGCGACGAGGGATGGAGAGTCCCACTAGGGTCCGGTCGCAATCGATTCCGTTCGTCTTTCGACGGTTTTGAGAGTCCGACGATGGACGACCAACGACTCGCTCTTAATAGAAATTTCTAAACGATGGATATGGCTTCGTTGGCCGCTGCCGGCTCCGGAAGTATTTCTAAACAAATGCTGCCTGTCTCCATATTTATGTTGTACAAATTTATAGTGTAAACACGGCTAAAGAGGAACACCTGGAGACGATGTTCTTTCCGGTCGAGAGTTAAAAGAGAAAAATGGGAATCCCTTGCAGATTTTAGTTTTTTGACGTATTTGTGTCTTTCAACTCGTATGAAAATAGATCGTGTTGCACTGTTGCGTTAATGCTCGAAACTGTCAATCTTTATACGTCTTGTGGGAAACTTGAATCAACGAGTCTAATGATCATTCCCGTTCTTTAGCCGTTTTTTGATTACTTCTTCGAAGGGATGACAAAAATATATTCTACCCTTCGGGAATCGTCACGTGCTATGACATTTAATATTTTTCTTTTTTAAAATAAACCGTAATCCATTTTACCGAGAAACAAACAGTCGGGAAGATATTTAAAACTTTTCGAATGCAACCGCACGAGTCCTGTAGTTGTCGACTTCCAAAACTACCATTTTCGTCTATTTATAATGTAAAATGCTCGGGGCCGGCCGTGATAATCCCGACATAAATTCCTCGGTAATCCCCTAATCCGGGATCTCTTTCCTTGGTCCTCTTTTTAGCCATTTACGTCGGAGGGGATCGTTACTAACGGCCTTGTTTTCTCACAGCCTGCGACTGCAACCTGCACGCCCGGAGGTGCCGCTTCAACATGGAGTTGTACAAGCTATCGGGGAGGACCAGTGGAGGCGTGTGTCTGGGGTGCCGACACAATACCGCGGGCAGGTATTGTCACTACTGCAAAGAAGGCTTCTACCGAGACACCTCCAAACCCATCACTCATCGTAAAGCCTGCAGAGGTAAGCTNTTGAAACAGTAAATATTCTTAGTTTCTCGCTCCCCTGTGGAGTCACTCAGTGTGACTCCCGTCAAGAATAACTTACCTCATTTATATAAAGGTGATAGGCATGGTGAGTCTTAAGTCTAAATAAGAATGAGTGATTCAGTCTGAAATGAATGTACAAAAGTGTAAGAAATATTTCTGAAAATTCATAATTTGTATGAAAATATGATGCAGTTTTCTTTAAATTGATTGAAAATTTAAATCATTTAAAGGATAAAGTCCTTAGAGATCTCTCTTGCTGGCTATTTTTATATCTGTAATAATACGTCTAAAGAAATTAGGCTGAGGCCTTAAAAATGCTTAACGTGGCTATTTAAATTTATTATTATTTGATAAAAGGGAAGGGTCTCTTATATACTACAATATAAACTAAACAATCATTATAAAAATATATACATTCTCGACGGTGGTTAATCGTATTTTTTCATTTAAGGATTATTCAGTAAAATAAGTTTTTTATTAATTAAAATAAAATGAATACAGTTTTTTATTCGTATATAAAGATTTTAGAGTAATTGTTACATATTTTGAAGTGTAAACGTAGCCTTTGTTATATGAAATAAAGAAGTTTGATAAGAGTACCATTGGCTTACAATACAATGCAAAAACGTGCTAAGATACAGTTGACTGATGCTACGATGCATAGTGTTATTGAATTTATTTCAGTTCTTTGTGATACTTGATGTAATTCTCGAAATTCTTTTCTTTTTCTATCCTATCTATCATTTTTATCGAATAATTATGGCCGTCCTTCGCAACGGGCGTTGGTGCCAGTTGTCAAGTAACTCACTTCAAATCGTTGCACGGCAGTTTTGCACGATGAAAAATTAAGATGTTGTAAATATTTTACGATGCGTAGAATCATTTCCATAGTTCCTTGCAATTCTATGAAATACACAGCTTCTTGACTTTACTTTTTATTCCTTAATTTACCAATAAAAGAATATAGATTACATATTAAAGTTACCCCGATATAACTCTTCGAGTTTAATTATTAATTCGTTTTTTACAGTGTTAAAAAGGTGTAAATGGATTACTAAACTCGATTATGGTCAATTATTATCTGTAAATGAAAACAGACAATTCTTTAATCGGTAGAAACTACACTATACCAACACTCTTACCGGAACTGAGATTAAAACACATCTAGGCGGCCTTGACCTTTCTTTCCAGGCTTCTTAGTCTGACCATAAAATACTGAAAATGCTATTAAAATATCCCATTTGTAGATGAAGTTTTCACTACGGTGTCTCACCTCCGAAATTTCGTGCTCCGGGAACCACCAATCGATCGCCTTTCAATATGTAAATGATGCAAAACGCCTTAGCCATCTTACAAAAACAATTTCTTTGCGTGGATTTTTAAAGAAATGTCTAAAATTCATGCTTTTATACCTTATTTTTTTAAATACACATTATTGTTAAAGAGGAGAATTTCACACATTTTACCATTGTCCCGTATTTAAGCTACAGGCTAAATGAATGAATCATTAATTGTCGTGTTAGTTAGATCGAATTTTTGTAGGAGATATCAATTTGCATGTTTCCAGCTGACTTTATTGTTGTATACAATTAGTAAATCATTAGGTGTTTAGTTAATCTTCATTTATAATATATTATAGTTATTATATATTGCTTACCAACCGGATATGATGCCGTCAAATTTCATTTTTTCCTTTTAACCTTTGACTTCAAATTGCAAAATGTCTCTTGACCTTTTGTGTCTCCGGGAGTTATTACGTTATAGGTTGACCTAATATTCTTAATGTTATTATTCTCTATATCCGTTATCATCTTAAATGAATGTTTAAGGAAATATTTTATTCTTATTAATAAAAACATTTATTTTATATTATTATATTCCGTTTTAATTACGACAGCACCGATTTTTTCGATAAAGAAAGGCCCAAAAGTTTATTTTTTTTATGTGGAAAATATGATATAGACACCATTTATTAAGAAAATTATTTGTTTTTACGTCGGATTTAAATATATTTTTTTAATATAAGTGTATAGTTTTTGCTTTGCAAACATCATTATTATATATAATTCTCATCTTTTGAGAGTCCCAGTTTAGCGCTGCAGTCGATTTAGTGTCGGTTTTGAGGCGTAATATCGAGGTTTGACTGTATATAGTAATTCACACACTTAAGGATTTGATATTTAATATCCGGGGGAAATATTTGTCCACAGTAAGCTACTCGTTGGCGCTTTACCGGGGTGACGTCTTATCGAGGTTTGACTGTACTTAAGTAAAGCTGATAAGCTACGTTTTTATCGACATTCTTTTATGTCTGAAATGAATTTAAAGATAAAAAATTTGGAGAAAATATATTGTGTAACCTATCCATATTAAGTACGATCACGAACAACGAACAATGCAAGAAGCTACTCGACTCATTAACCATTCAAAAAGTTAACAAATGTCTCGAATTGACTGGTGTATTTTGCATTGTGCATCGTGCTTCTAGCTCCGTGTGTTTGCCAAAAGTATAAGAAATCTGAGAAATGAACGTCTGGTCACGTATTAAATATATTCAATGGCGAATGCAGATTAAGAATGACACGCTGCTCATTATATAAGCATTGTTTAAGTATAAAAGTCATACGTTAAGAACCTTGTTGTGCCAAAAAAATAAAAAAATTACGTTAGATAAGCATTAAGCTGCTTATTAAAACAGAAATGCTGCTCTTATAACAATGCAATTTTATCAATGGTAACTTTTTCTATCATAATTAATAGCTTATTCAGTGGCAAAAAGAGCAATTGCCTTGGGTCCCCACCGGCAGGAATCCCAAAACAATCTTTTATAAGAAAATTTCCTCCAAAAAACTTCCTTCGAAGAAAAATGTCTGAAGTCGACACTATACGTGGATCCCCTTAATTCAAATATGCTTGGGCCTCAAGAGCCACTCAGCTCGTTGACATTTAGTTAACATTATACCCCTTGATTGTACCATCAAACTAAGTCTAAAATATTTATTGTAACTAATGACTTCATCCACGATTGCCAGCGCTCACTTTTACAATCACTGTATGCCACTTCTTAATGCAGAGAAGTTACTTTAATTCCCAAGTGTGCCTTGGTAAGCTCATACGACTCCCCAGATTCCACACAAGATGTATATATTTTTCCACTAAAGACGACGCCATATCATTCTTATCCCATAGCAGCATTTTATCTACATTAAGTTAAATGCCGAAGACACACACGAATAAACGTTTTGGTGCATAAGTAATGCAGTTTCGATTACCGTATTCGTCCCCGTTGTATTCTTATACGCGGGTGTTTCCGTCCAAGACTCTTAATCGCGAGTTATGGTGTAGTAACGGGGTAACACGTGAATGGTTTTTCTCGTTCGGTGAATGTTTTATTGAACGTTGTTCTTCCCACGTGACGCTCGATACATTCGTTGTGTTACGCGAATAACTCAACACAAGTCGTTCAATTCTACTAGGAAAAAATAAATTCAATATAAATAAATACTTTATGAAATCATTTTAAGAGTAATTATTAATGTAAGGCTTTATCATAGGTGCCAAGATGGCTGACATTTGTGTGGAATTTCTTACAAATTACTCATTCCTTTACATTTATTTATTGGTA